TTGAAATGTTATTTCATATTTTTTGGATAGTAAGTATGACCAGATACAGGTCCTTGCTTAGGCCTGAGCTTTACAGTGGTGGGACAGGCAGGGGATAGACGTAGTTTAAACGTGTGTACACCTGGATGATGAGAACAGGAATACTAGTTCCACGCAGGTGGAATATCTCCTGAAGTGGGATTAGGCTCTCTAGGCTGATTGACTTCCTACTCTGAAAGCAGAAACACACTTTTTTCCCCTTTGTCAGAGACCCCTAAAATTTAACTTGCAGGAAATGCAGCCTGGGCTATGGCCACCTCGAAACCCGATATCCTCCTGATTCTGCTGCAGAAACTGATGGAAGAAGGAAATACACTGTACAAAGTAGGTAGATTCGTACTTTTTATGATAACAGAATCTTGGACTTCTGCATGTAAGTAGATTAAATTTCTTTATACCTCCTTTTCGACTACATCATCTGGTTTTTTACTGGGCTGTTTAAAAAAAAATAAAATGCGTGTATCACACATGATTTTTTCTGGTACTGGTAGTATTAATGCAAGTATTATCCTGGTCTAATACCATTAAACATTTTGAGTTCAGAAACAAACACAAACTGTAGTTAATGTGCAAGTTCTCTCACTGTGCTTGTCTGCCAGTATAGCCTATGCTGTGTATATTTATTTTTTTAAAAATCTCTCTCTGTTTTTTTCTTCTTGAAGGGCACCTCTTGGTAGATGTCAAATATAACATGCTTTTTTGCAACAGTATTGCAATATTAAAAGTTTGTGAAAAGCTTCTTGTTCCCTAAACTCTGCAGAAAGGCAAGATGAAGGAAGCAGCCCAGCGCTATCAGTACGCCTTGAGGAAGTTCCCGAGGGAAGGCTTTGGAGAGGAAATGAAAGCCTTCACTGAGCTGAGAGTTTCATTGTATCTGAACCTGTCACGATGTCGCCGAAAAACAAATGTAAGATCTTACTGTTCCTCTGCTGCCTCTCTGGCTTTCGGAATTCTCTCCTCCTGCATTGCTGGGGTGGACATTTATTGGTGCTATTTTATAATCCTTTTCACTGTACCCTGACTTTGGGCTTTGTTGTGTTAGCAAATGGGCAACTTATAAGATGAGTGTGTGTTGCAGTGGGGGATCTATTACAGCTAGTGTGAGGTCATCCAGTTATTTTGGAATGATGAACTGCTGCATATCTGTGGTACTTTTCAAAGACTGGATGGACAATGCTGCCACCACCCTTTGTTGTGACACAGCCCAACCTGGTGCCGTGGGTGCTTCCAGGGGAGGCAGAGCCTGTGCCACGGCCCCAGAGCCTGCAGCTCCCTCTGCCTGCTGGGGTGTAACCGGGGTGTTTGGTTCATTGCCAGGATTTTGGTATGGCTGAAGAGTTTGCTACCAAAGCCTTGGATCTGAAGCCCAGGTGTTACGAAGCCTATTATGCCAGAGCAAGAGCCAAGAGGAACAGCAGGTACTGTTTGATTCTGTGGATCTCTCTGCACAGATTCTTTTTTAACCTAACATTTTTAATAACTTGTTCTCTTCCGCTAGTTCTATGTGGAATTTGCAAAGAAAAAGTTATTTTTTGTGCACTTTCCATCTGTATTAGGTCTCTGTATCAGTTAAAGCCAACCACACCCAAAGAGCAATATTGAATACTTATTTCGGTAATCACTGGGCAGTCCAGAAAGTAACAAACTGATATGAAGAGGGATTATTTGAAATGTAAGGCTGCATGGGTCTGCTACTCACATGACTGAGCAGAATGCGACCAACAGTGTGCAACCCAGCCTTATCACTGCATTATGTATTACCAGGTTTATTTATCATGTATTACTGGCTGGTTTTATAGGACAGGATATGTTGAATCATTAGCAGTTAAAGATAAAAAACAAGGGGAGAGAGGAGGAAATATCTCTTCTAGTCTGGAAAAATGGCAAACTATAGAGGTATAGCTGAAGTACAGGGAAAGGTGCCTTTGGTTCACAGTGTCTCTTCTAAACAGCTCAGTAGATAGTCATGGAGTTAGCAGGTTCCCTACTCTGGAGGCAACTGTGAAGGGCTTGTGAGATGAAGTGTCAGTTCCTACTGTTCCCAGCAGAGACTTCTGCTGCCTCCCTGCACGGATTGTCACAACACTCAAGGAAGGGCTTAGGGATGGGTCTGTGGTTCACCAGAGGGAAGAATTTCCTGAGGTGGAGAACATCCAGTTCTTACACTGTTGCCACCTGCAGCAGGAAATGACACATCAGAATATTTCTCTGCAAGTGGCAGAGGTGGATTAGTAATAGGCAATGGTGGGGCTCAGATCTGCTCTGGATCTTCGCTGTTTACTTTTTTTTTTTCACCCTAAACAGAAAGTTACTTGCTGCTCTTGCTGACCTACATGAAGCCGCTCAGCTGTGTCCCAGCAATCAGGAGATAAAACGTCTCCTGGCTCGGGTGGAAGAGGAATGCAAACAGTTGCAGAGAACACAGCAACAGAAACATCAGTCTGCACAGCTACTGGAGCAAACCAACAACTCCGATAATGAGGAGGGTGTTGTATCAGGCGTGAAGGAGAATTTCAGTCCTCAAGACAGGGAGGATGAACTGTCACACCTCGATGAATCTGTTTCCCCACCACAAAGGTTGCAATGTTCCTCAGCTGCTTCATCGTTCAGCAGGACCCTTCAGGAAGGTGTTCAGCAGAAGGCTCCGTCTGTGTCCCCTCAGAGCAGAACAAGCAGTAAGTACCTGAGAGAGCCAGGCTTGATCATGCAGCCAACAAAGCAGGCACAGATTGTAAAAACTAATCAGCACCTGAGCTCCATCCAGCCTGGATCTAAACCAGGAAGCAGTCAAGGTAATACAAAGGCACAATCATCTTTGCAGCATCATCCCCTAAGTCCCTTGCCTGTCCCACACTCTAGAAGTCAGCATTTGGATGGGACAAGCACACTGTCATCTGGAAGTATTTCCACAGATCCCGGTGCTGAACTGTGCAGTGAGAAGTTCATGTCCAGCCAGTGTTCCCATCCACAGCATCACAAGACTCTCTCTTCTCATTCTTTTGCCAACAAGTCTAAACCTGCAGACAGGTCAACAGGCCCTGCTCAGATGAACTTCGGTAACACAAGGCAGCAAAGCCCTGTACCCAGTGCTGTCTCTTCAAGCTCTCCATCCAACAGTGTGATTCTGGCCAGCTCAGCCAGCAGCTTTTCAGGCAGCGTTAAGGGGCTGGGCCCTGATGTTCGACTCAAGGAGAGTAACGTGAGTCAGGTTCAGGGTACTGAGCACCGACCCCGCAATACCCCATTTATGGGAATCATGGACAAGACTGCAAGGTTCCAGCAGCAAAATATGCAATCCAGTCGCACTTGGCACGCTCAGGCATCAGATGGATTATCCACAAACGTTGCTCCTGGGGGCATCCAGCCCTCAAACTTGGAGCAGTTCTCAGTGAAACACTACCCAACTAAAATCCCCTCTCTGGCTGCTGCCCTGGGAGATGGCAACCAGAGCAGTGTGCAAGCGAGAGACCGCGAGGAACTCCCATGCCCAGTCCCTCCCCACTGTCCAGACAAATCCCCCAGCCAAGGTTCTCATTCATACCCTGATGCTGCAGCCAAACCCTCGTCCCACAGCAGCCAGGACGGGCACCTCAGCCACACGGCAAAACCAAAGCGATCCTTCATTGAATCAAATGTGTAAGTCCTACTTTGGGTATTTACTGGGTAAACCTGGCTCAGCACAGGGTGTGACTGCTCTCACAACACTCACTGGCTGGGCACAGCTGGCTCTGAGGGAACAGCCCGTGCTGGCCAGTCCTTACTGGGATACAACCACTTCACACTGTTCCTACCAGCACAGGACAGTGACAGTAACTGGAATAACAAGACTTCTGTAAGAAGAGTCAATTAGGGTTGTCCAACCAACAGAGTAGGACCTCGAGCAGAGAAATCCTTTCCATTACATTTTACCTTAATTAAATAAGAGTTTCCTTTCATGTAGGGCTTCAGTCTTGGCTTTTGGTTCTGTTGCATCTCACACATAATACTTGTGCCTCTCCAGTGCTTAAGTGCTTACTTCTCACAGCAGTGTTAAGGAAGTTAATCTGCTGCAGAATACTCAGATCTGTACATGCATGCATTTTTTTAAATCAAAGATAGTATTTTATCACTTTTCTAGCGGGATGTAATTTGGGTTGCATGATGTACATTTAGGAAGCATAAATAATTTGTGTATGAGTAAACTATAAGCAGCCATGTTTGACATGTAAATATAACTATTTTTGGTAACTAGGAGAAATCAAATAAAATAAAGAGTGACATTTGCATGTGTATTAAGAAGCTTTGACCATATTGGTTATTGCACTGAAGAACACAATATTATGGCCTATTAACAATAATTGCACTTTATATAGGTTATCTAATCACCTTTGGGTGCTATCTTAAAGCAAAATGATTTATTGTTTATTTGTGAAAAGGTACAGCAGTTAAATGCCTAGTGAGTGTTTTTATGGGAAACCTAACAAATGGATGGAGTGAAGATGAAAGTTTGAGGAAAAGTGTATGTGCAGTGGCATGGAAGGATGAAGCTGTGAAGTTTTTTTGGAGGAAATAAGGTTTTATATTGGCAAGAACGTTGTGAAAAGGAAGGGCTGCAGCGAACGTTGCGACGAGTGCAATTCAGTTGGAGAGCTCAGCTTTACACCCTGCCCGTCGTGCTTGGTTACAGTGCTCTGTGTCCAGTGTAAGACCTGTACCCAGCTCCACAAGTCCTTCTGGAGTTTGCATCATTATGCTTTAGCTTATTTATTGTTTACCGGTTCTTTGATATTTTGTACAATTCATATATTAGTCTTGTTCTGTAGTTCTATTTTTGCACAGCTACTGTATTTTTTTCCATACAAAATAAACATGCTTAATATACGTGTGGGATGAGATGCAGTCCCTGATGGGATAGAATGATATAGATCCTATACTTTGCTATTTCTTACCTTCTGAAAGACTGTAGACTCAGAAGTCAGAAATGTAGTGAAAATTTTAAGAAAACTTTATTTGAAAAACTGTTATTACTTCATTTCTTGAACAGAAATACCACAAAGGAAAAATAACCAAAACTTCTTCTGGGAGCTTCCACCAGTGAAGGTTTTCTTTGAAACAGCCACAGATTAGACCAGAAATAGAACTTTTTTTCCCAGTTGTTCCTGATACAGTTAGTTCCTTTAGCTACACAGAATTCCAAAGTGGTTCAACATTTCTGCTGAGTCTCCAGCCAGCGAGTGATGGCCATTTTTAGTGTCCTGTTTGGTGTGAGCATAAGGGAGTGGAGGGGAAGATTGGTCATGGGACTAGATCGTCTCTTATTGCTGATCCAGTGTTCCATTGCTTCCCTTTCATAGGAATAGCCATCTACAACAAAACCATCAACAGAAGCTCCTATTACAGAGGCTTGGGCACTGTGGCACTCTACAAATTTTAGATATTTAAATGGAAAGGAAGGAAATACATCCAAACAGGAAAAATTGAGATTTAGAGTAAGTCCATGGTCTGTGAAAGCTCTACTGTGAATATAAACAGTTCAGGCTAGTTTCATGTTTCTGTCTCTGACTGCAAAGCACCAAAGTATATTATACATGTTAAATAAGACTGTCTTTTCAGTTTGACTGATCCATAATGTTAAGTAAAAGCTCTTTAATACAAAATAGCTAACACAGCTAAAGCTTGCTGCGCCCATGACCACTGTGGGCGCCCACCTGGCTGCCCCAGCCCTGAGCTAGGCCTCTGCTGAGCCTTCACCAGCTGTCCAGTTTCAGGGCTTCAGCTCTCCAGTTGGTACCTAAACAAGGTGTTACTTAAAGAACAGAAATGTGGCCCCTGCTCAGTGTTATTTAGCCCAATCACCCAGAAATCTCTCTGATGGAGATTACACTGCTCACCCTGTATTCAGTAAAGCCACTGCCACTCCAGCAGTTAGCAAATGTCTTCATATTTTGAGCATTTTAATTCTCAGGAGTCTGATACCTCACGACTGAAGTTAATCACTGCGTCAGAAGAACTTACACTGATCTTCTGATGACGGTATGCCCCTCCCCACCCCCAAGATTAGAACTACTAAGCACTAGTTCTCCATAGAATGTTTTACCTGTAGAATATCTTAAGCTCCTGGTGTATCACAGTTCAAAGACCTTGCTGAATTTAAAGGAGTCTCCTTCAATACAAACTTCTAAGTGCCCTAGAGATGGTGTGCTAAGTAGTAATGAGCCTGGGTTTCCTTGGCTTTTTGCCCCAGTGTGTGCACTTATTTTGCACTTATCAAGCCAAAGATGTAATTAGGCTTGTAATTATATTTGCAAAGGCACATTAAAAAAAAGGAAACAAATGCTTGATACAGTATTTTTCTCCCTATTAGAGATGTCATTTGGCAAAATTAAACATTTATCACAATTCTGTTTTGTTGCAAGAGCTATTTAAAATAGTTTATCTTTCTGATAAGACAGGCCCATTTTTGTGTTCCCACACCGATCTTTATCCTCAAGTAATTTTAATTGATGTCACGTAAAGACATACCCGCTGCAATGACAGGATCCTTCATAAGCTCCCTTGTTATAGGACACAGGAACTCATCAGGGACAGGAACAGAAACTGAGATCATTGTCATCCTCAGTTCTTCAATCTTCTGGAGAATTTTACTGCGTAGGCCTAGAGACTCTGAAAAATTATTTATACATGAAGCAGACAGCACAGACAGGTAGGGCAAAGAGTCAGCAGCTGCTTCAAGAGACACAGCTCCATCTCACCACCCCCCAAAACAAAAACCTGCAGCCAGCCCAGCCACAGGATGTCTGTCCTGCTGCCCAACAGGAACCTGAGTAAGGAAAACAACCAGTAAAACCAACACAGGTGCAGCAGTGCTGCAGAGCCATGGCTGTGTGGTGATAAACTCCTATCATTTAGTTAAACTGGGACTGCAGTAGCACTGAAAATCTTGTTCATCTTGGGCAGGTAGTATTTTCCTGTTTTGTAAGTGCTTGAGCCGTGGCAGGTAGAGAGCAATTCTTCAAGTCAGTTTTGTCAGGCCATAATTTTTATACCTTTGTTGAGTCCTTTCCCCACAGAGAACTCTCATTTTCAGCAGGTCATTGATCACATTCAGTTCTCACAGGACTTCCTAGTCAGTGTTAATTGACTGGCCTCAGCAGATGATGCTGCAACAGAGTTTTAGGCTACTTCAATGCTAAAGACAACGTGCAGCAACTGAGGAAGCCGGGGGTCTTTCATGGATGACAATTCTGTCAGATTCCCTGCACCTGTTATTTCTAGAATTCAACAAAGCTGGCTGATACACAGAGATACTGTGATCTCATATAGACCAAGTCAACACTCACACAATGGTAATGAAATAAAAAGGCATTTTGGGGGGGGAAATCCACGTACGGAATTCTTAACTTTCTTTTATTACAACATTTCAAAGTCCTTTAAAAATTAAAAACTATTTGGATTTTCATACTCTTACCAATTTTTAATTCATTAGCAAGACCTTCCTTAGTAAGATTCAGTAGCTCCTTGCCATCAATATTATTCATTTTGAAAAGCCCAACAAAGTCTGCTAAATCTTGTGCACAGAGCCAGGCTGAAACATCATCCTCTGACCAGTCCTCAACAGCCACCTGAGATTCAGTTTCTACAGTATTTCCTTTGGAAATGAAAAAGACAGTTACAAAACAAAACAAAAACCAAAAAATCCCCAATCAAACAAAACAAACCCACAAAACCCAAAAAACAACCAACAATGAAACCCACCAGTTCTAAGAAACAATGTCATTAATGAACTCTGGTTTTAAGTGTTCTCAGTACTATACATTCTCCATCTAATAAAAGAAATGCTTATTAGACATTATTTTGGGGAAGAGGCACGATAATTTTTGTCTTTTTACCTGTCAATTTTCAAAGTTTAGAAGAATTTAATCTCTCGGATGCCCACATGTCTGTAAAATCTGAACTGAATAACTAAAAACCAGAAAAGTGGAACCATCTCACACCTCCTTGGAAAGCAGACTAAAGCCCAAACTTATTCTTGTGCTTTGAACAAGATCACATGTACCTTTGTTCCACAAATTTTGGGTGCTGATGTGTTTTGTAACAGTAGCTATCTTGGGTTTTTTTCACCTGTAACAACTGGTAAACTGTTTTTCTTGCTGACAATTATGCTTGCAATTAGCATATTTTCTGGTTAACCCATCACAAATGATGCTTGTCCAAAAAGTCTTTCAGCACTCTGGCAATAATATTCATCTCTTAAATGCTGTCCAGAGAGCAAGCAATGGCAAATATCAGAAAAGAAGATACAGCAGATTAATCAAATTAAGATACATCTAGTATATTTTTCTTTAAAAAAATAACCAAATACCTTTGTAGGACTTCAATCAGGTCAGTTCAGAGAAAAGACCAGGAACAGGCACACAATTCTGAGGTTACACATTAACTGCAGGTAAGAATGTGGGGGGTTTGCATCTTCAGAAGGTGCTCTGAATTTAAAGAACAAACACTTCACACACTGACCTGCAGAGGGTTGCTTAAGGTCCAACTGCCATATGTGCACAGTTTTATCCATTGAGCCTGTGGCAAGTAAGTGACTATGTGGTGCAAAAGCACAAGTTGTAACATATCTGCAAATAAAAAAAAAGAACACAGTGTGAAAATTCACGACAAAAAGGCTTAATTTCTTTTATTAACAGTGAAACAGAATAATCATATTGAATTCTTACCTGGTATGCTGAGACAAAGTACGCAGGGTATTGCCAGTACTCTGTAAAAGAGTTTTTGTAATTTTAAATCTTAAAGAATAAAAAGAACATTTCTTCATTTGCATGCTTCCTCTCAAAGTAAGGAATATTGCCTCTTGAAAGGTGACACAAGTTACCTTCAGAGAAGTTACACAGCCTTGACAAAGCTGATCAGCAGTAGAGGCAGAACTGCAACTTGAATTTCCTGCCTGAAGCCCCCCTGGATTCCTTGGGGCACTGCCACCCTTCCCAATCAGCCAGCACGGAGCATGCAGGAGAACCGTGCCAGAAACACCCACTGAATGAATTACATCCATACTGGCTGACTGTTCGTGGGGATAAAAACATTTCTTTTACAAATCTGGTATTAGAAATCACCAAAAGGGAAGAGCTTTAAGCCACAATCCTTCAACTGGACCAGTAATTAACCACAGCAGTGGTTCTCCTATTTGGCCACTAAATATCAATAAAAAACCAAATTCCTGAATTTCCACAGTTTTAATTTATGATTGAAAGACCTTCCCTCTTATGAAAGATACCTTTTTTTGACAGGTACAGACGAAGTGGGAAGATGATGAGCAGTTATCAGAATCACTAATTGATCAGTCAGCACTCCAGTAGTTTGAGCTGCCCAACATGATCAAAGTGCCCTATTTTAGGCCAAAATCTCTCTCTGTCCCATGAAGGCTTTATGTCCCCACTTTTCCCCACAAAATCACAGGGGATCTCTGCAGATCACCTAGTACAGACCCCTTGCTAAAGCAGGGCCACCTACAGCAGGTATCCAGGTGGGGTTTGAGCATCTCCAGAGGAGAATCCACAACTAGAAAAGTTCTTGTCCCATCTGATAAAAACCAAAGGCCACAAAAGCTGACAAACACTATTAAGAAATACTTATGCTGTGGTTTTGTGCATATTTTAATTTTCTGAAGCTCCAAAACTCTGGAGGACTTCTTACATACCTGTCTAAACTTCAGACTACTAAAATAACTGGACTAAAAACTGTGCAGGTATCACAGATTTTGGTGAAAAACTTTAAAAATTGTATCAATACAATAGATATATGCAGAGCAAGCTGAAGAAGCTTAAAATTTGTTCATCCTCCATTTTCAGCAAAATTATTATTTTTTTTAATACTAGAAAGTGCTAGAGGTAAATAGCACTTACAGATGAACCATGAAAGATGTAATAACATTATTATAGAAAATGCTTAAACAGTATGTTTTAAGGAGAAGACACTGTATTTAACATAATTTTCTTGACTTCTTTATTATGCTTCTATTTTATCTGCACTTTATATATAATTAACTAAAGAATTTCTATGATCACCATTCCCAATTTTATGTCAAAAGCTACACTCCTCCTTGCTTTGGAAGCTAGGCATGTTAGGATAAACAAAAAATCGTTCTGCTTCAATATGAACATAACTTGTAAGTATGGAATTAATTAAATAATACCCTACTGCAGAGAAATCAACAAATCCTCAAAATGTAGATAAAAAGTGAGAAAGACTGATCAATTCTCAAGAGACACTTTCCCTTAGACAACTCCTGCTCCTCCCCCCAAACGCACAGTAAATAATTTGGGATTATATCGTTTCTATTCTTCAGTATTTCTTTATGCTGATAAGACACTGCAGCAGTACTGACATTAAAAGACAACAACCCAATGAATGGTCTGTACTATGCTATACTTACAGTTTCATAGATTATGACACACTTGTCCACAGACCTTTAAAAAAACCAGACATTAAAATGAAGCAGAGAGGGAAAAAGAAACTGTTTTTTCATGAAGAAAGGAGGAAAAACCTTTTTTTGCAAACAATATAAGATCAAACATATTTCTTAACAACACCTGATGCAAAGTTTGGATATCTATCTCCCCTCCACCAGTGTCCACCTTAAACAACACTGACCAGTGTGAAGTAAAAACCAGCCAATACGAAAACTCTGCCCTTGCATGAGAATTCCCGAGGCAAAGGATTTGCACAGTTGCTTTTGCCCCCACTCTCTCTACCATATCTCTACTTTATATCTTTGCAAGCAGCATCTGTAAAGCAAATGCACAGTCTGGCTGTCCAAGATCTAGTCTCAGCCCTTCTTATTTCTGAGACCTTTCCATTTGCAAAGCCAGCCAGAGGAAGTTGTGTCATGCAATACATAAAATATAGCTGTGCAATGCAATCAGTACATACATATTTCATGAAATACAAATTGCACAGTTATTTACCATGGCAGCAGTATTTCCTGAAAGATTTTATGGGATAGACATTTCACTTATGACAATGTAAGTGAAAACAATAATCTGTACGTCTAAGGGAAAATAAAATAACTCTACATCACAAACATTCATAATGATCTTCAAATACTGAAAAAGACTCCCTTAGAAAGAATATAAAGCAAAGTGTCAAAGCAAGCTATTGTCTCCTGGGGTTTGTTTAGTTTTAAGTTTATTTGCTGGCAATTGTAGTCTTTTTCCTTTGCAAGACATCAGCCTTTCAGTTTAGAAAGGCTTTGTAAATAAGACAGTTAAAATTTAGAGTGGAACCACTGTATTTGCTACTTCAAGCTACCACCTAGTTTAGAAGTGACTAAAATACCCTTCATGAGAAGAGCAGAGTAAAAGCATACAGTCACTAATATTCATAAAACCATAAGTGATTATACCTACCTTATTTATAACTTCCTCTCTCAACAGCTTGGTCCCTGAGGAAAGCCACTAGCAACGAGCTGCTGCTGAGCATCAACCAGCCCTTTGAGTCTGACCACGCAGAGCCCCCTGTGCGAGCCCCCTCCCCTCACAGCTGCCTGTGACCCTGGGGGCCGTGCCCACAGCCGGCACCATTCCCTGTTCCCACCCTGTCCCCACAGCCGGCACCAT